CCAGTTCTGGTGAGTTTACAAGAGGAATGCATGGGAGTTTGAACAGGACATGCCTCCAACATGTTGGTTTTCACTAAGAAGTCCTTAATATATTTGGACTGAGTGAGAAGTAAGGAATCAGAATTAAGTTGCTTAACCTCAATCCCTAAGAAGTAGTCAAGGGAGCCAAGTTGTTTAAGAGAAAAACTTGAATTTAGTTTGGAGATGATGGTGTTAATGAGTGAGGCAGAATCACCTATGATGATAATATCATCCACATAAACTAACATGTAGATAGCGTGACCTCCAACACAATAAGTGAAGAGGGAAGGATCACACTTACTATGTTTAAATTTGAGCTGAATGAGAGTAGATTGCAGCATGTCAAACCACTGCCTAGGGGCTTGTTTCAGGCCATAGAGAGCCTTGTTAAGCTTGCAAACTAAGGTTGGATTAGCACTTTCAAACCCCTTTGGCTGCTCCATATAACTTCTTCATTAAGAATGTCATTGAGAAAGGCATTGTTGACATCTAATTGTTGAATAGGCCATTTGTGAGTAAGAGCAATGGATAAAATGAGCCTGATAGTGACAGGTTTAACCATAGGAGAAAATGTCTCTGTAAAATCAAATTCATACCTTTGATGGAATCCCTTTGCTACCAGCATAGCTTTATACTTACTCACTGTGCCATCTGGATTTTCTTTAACCTTAAACATCCATTTGCAGCCAATGACATTCTTCTAGGATGGAAGGGGAACAAGGGTCCAAGCGTTGTTGTTAATGAGGACATTGTATTCAGCTTGCATAGTTGTTTTCCAATTATCATTAGCAAAAGCAGACTTAACACTCTTGGGTTCTCCAGTAACCAAGAGTAGTTTGGGGTCCAACATGGGTTGAGCAAAACCAGATTTGGCCCTGGTTTGCATATGATGAGAGTTATGAGGTTGAGGTACATGAACAACTTTAAGTGGAATATGAGGGCTGGCAGTAGAAGAAATGGAGGATGAGGAGATACTAGGCTGGGAGGGAGAAGAAGAGGAAGTTGATGAAGAATTATTGGGAGTGACTTGGTCTGAAGTGGGAGCCTGAGGACTAGATAAGTTATTAGAGGGTTGGGATGAAGTAGATTGACTGGAATGTGGCAAAATGTCATTGGTGCCAGTAGACTCAAGGGACTGATTAGCAAGACTTGAAGAAAAAGCAGTTGGGCTAGGAGAAACAACAGTGGGAGTGAGAATAACATCAGAAATAACAGGTAAAGGTGAAAGTCTGACACTTTTAGTAAAAGGAGTTGATGAAGTAGGGGAAGGAAACAGTTCAGGAAAAGGAAACCTGAATTCATTGAAGAGAACATCCTTAGAGATATACATTCCTCCAGTAGGGACAAGACATCTATACCCTTTATGAGAAGAGGAATAACCAAGAAACACACGCTCTTGGGACCTAAAGTCCAACTTGTGACTATTATAGGGCCTGAGCAGTGGAAAACATGCACAACCAAACACTCTTAAAAAGTTGTAATTAGGTTGAAATTTGTATAACAGGGAATAAGGAATTTGAAATTGAATGGAGGAAGAGGGAAGTCTGTTGATGAGATAGATAGAGGTTGAAAAAACATAATCCCAATAGATGAGTGGAAGGAAAGCTTGACTTAGCAAAGTAAGACCCATATCCAATATATGCTTATGCTTTCTTTCAACCACACCATTTTGATGGTGTGTATGAGGACAAATAAGCCTATGAACAATGCCATTTTCTTTGAGAAATTGAGAGAAATGCCTGAACTCACCACCTCAATCTGATTGGACAACTTTAATAAAACAACAAAATTGAAGTTCCACCGATTTCTTAAACTGTTGAAAGTAGTAAGTGCTTCAGCTTTAGTTTTGAGAAAATAAATCCAAGTATACTTGGAGTAAACATCAATAAAGGAGATATAGTACTTGAAACCAGAAGTAGAAGAGTGAGGTGAGGGACCCCATAGATCACTGAAAATAAGTTCAAGTGGTGATGTGTATGTAGTGTGTGAATCTGGTGAGTGAAGTTTGTGTGTTTTACCCATACAACAAGCTGAACAAAAATCATCAAGAATTTTATTAGAAAAGGGAACATTACAAGCTTGCATAACCAGTTTCAATACATGAGAATTAGGATGGCCAAGTCGAAGATGCCACTTATTTGGTGTACTAGAATTCAAAATAACTGAATTAATACTAAAATTACAGTGTTTATCCAAACTAAGACTAGATATAGTGGGAGGCAGGGCAGCAGAACCAGTCAGTTTGATGGAGGAAAGATCATAGAGGCCATCTTGCCAACACTGCCTTCAAGAAGAGTAGCTTTAGAGACCTGTGATTGGATAATACACTTATCAACAGTAAAGATAAAATGCACATTATTATCGTTACAGAATTGACTCACACTAAGTAGATTCTTAGTGATTTTAGGAATGAGTAAGAGATTGTGCAGAGTAAGTGATGTGTGTGGCTGAAGTGGTGAAGAAAATACACTTGAACCACAATATTGGATATGCACACCTTGACCATTTCCCATGAAGATCTGGTCAGGACCTTCATAAGGAGTCGTCTGTTGTAAATTTCTTGCCTCATTGGCAACATGAAATGAAGCTCCAGAGTCAGGAAACCATGAGCCTGAGGTAGATGGTGCTGAATTAGCAACAAGTGCACTAGGAGCACGAGACAATGCTGAGGGACTTCTTGGTTGTGGAGGAGGTCTGGTCCACACATTCTGAGAAGTGTCAATGTACCCATAGGGTGAAGCCAACCATTGTTGAGGATTATATGAAGAGACTGTTGCAGGAGGAATTTGTTAGTTATGATGAAACATGTACCAGCAGTTGAGAGCAATGTGACCATGTTTGGAGCACACTTGGCACTGAACATGAGAGTTAGGATTTCTACCTCTGCCTCTACCAAACCTACCACCACGTGTACCTCTGAAACCACGAGACTGATTGAAATCTTATTCAGGAGCTTGTGTAGAGACAGGAGCTGGTGTAAAATCAACACTGGCAGCTTGAGTGTCATCACTAGGTTTAGTAGCAGCTGAAGTTTGAGCAAGATTGAGGGAAATGACATCTGAAGTAGTGGATTTCTTGAATTTGTTCAGACGCGGCTCATGAGCTAACAACAGAATTTCCACTTCATCTAAGTCCGTTAAGCCAAATTTAGTCTCAATGACAGACACTACAGGAGCAAATTCTGAAGGCAAACCTTCAAGAATTACATTTATATGATGTGAAGCATGGGATTACCAATGGAAGCAAGAGCATCAACAATGGTGCGTACCTTGAGCAAATACTCTTGAACTGTAGAAGTATCAAAAGTTAGGGCACGCAGTTCCACATGTAACTGCCTTGCACGTGCTCGAGTTTGCTTCTGAAAATAATTGAATAAACGATCCCAAAGTTGATGCGAGTGAGAACAGTCAAGCACTCACGAAAGAGTTTCACTGGACAGAGTGGATTGTAACCAAGAAAGAAGCATTTGATCCTTATGTAGCCATCGAGAGTACTCAGGATTGATGGTTCCAGCTTCGCGAGCTCCATCATCAACAAATTGCAAAGGAATTTTGGCGCAAACTACAAACTCAGTAAGATTATGCGCATTGATGTAAGGTTCTATCTGTTGGCGTCATAGATGAAAGTTCTTTTCATCCAATTTCTGCGAAATCTTGAACGAAAATTGGAGACGATGAGGATCAATTAAGGAAGAGACGATCACCAGTGAAGAAACCGGTGGATCTTGCGCAAAGGAGGCTGGCGTTCCCTTCGGTGTAGGAGTCGCAGCCATGATAAGGTTCTAGATCTGAACCAGAGCTAAACTGATACCATATTAGAAAGTGAAGAGAGAGAGAGAGAGAGAGAGAGAGAGAGAGAGAGAGAGAGAGAGAGAGAGAGAGAGAGAGAGAGAGAGAGAGAGAGAGAGAGAGAGAGAGAGAGAGAGAGAGAGAGATTCATGATTGTAACAAACTGTATTTTTCTATTATTGATTTAACTGATTCAGTTACACTAAAGTTTTCTTTATATACAGCAAAAGTACAATGCACAATGCAGGTTAAAACTAACTCTGACCTGTCACAACAGATTTTAATAAACAAACCTAACCTGCAGTAGCAGGTTCTAACTAACTAAAAACCTGTAGTAACAGGTTAAACAAACTACTCAGACTGACACTTGTCAATTCTGAGCTATACAAAGCTGCTATACTCTAATAATAATCCATAATAAAAACTCCATATCCAACACATCCCAGTTTTTCAAATATTTTCAAGTTTCAAATCTCAATATTTCATAGCAAACACATCTCAAATCTTTTCAGCTTTCACCGTAACAATCACAATCACATGGGACTTTCAAATCACCCCACAAAGTAAAATTCGATTTTGTTGCATAAATTTTGTTGCTTTTTATTTGGGGTGTGAATTTTATTTGAATGCTTTTCTCATTCTTAGATTCCAATCAAATAGAATTCAAGTGTTTGTTGCCGAGGTGAGAGGCAAAGACATTGGCTATGGCCACTAGATTCTCAGGAGTTGACAATGAACTGCAAAAGATTTTGGTGCTAATATGGATCATGACAGTTAGGAAGGATAGTGAAACCATTAACCATTGAAACACCATATTTGGCGAGAGCCAATTTACTTGAGAAGTCTAATACTTTGTGTAACATTTGATTTCTTTATCATACCATCATACCCAGATTTAAACTAAAATTATTAAAAGAAGAAAATCAAATTAATTATTGAACATGATTGACATTAAGACTTACTGCATTGAAGAAATCACACTTTCAATGCAGTCACGCAATCTGAAATCTGAACCATAGGATCAAAATCGAACGGTTCATATTCCAACTTTGGTAAATTGTGTTAAAATGCAAAGTTGTAATGAGAACTGTTCGATGTTGATCCAGGGTCCACACCGATTGCATGAAAGTAGGGATTTCCTAAATCCTGAACAAGGAGAGTCTACAGATTCATAATGGGTCAGCCGAATCCCTAATTCCTGCTCCCAAAACTCCACCATCTTTTCTTTTTTCTCGACTCTTCTGAAGGTATATCTGGATCATCGGGTTTAATATATATGATTAGGCAACAAGTATCATACAAAAATGAAATATATATTTTTCGATTAAAATTCTTTTCCTTGATAAAAACTTGTTTTGATTTAGTCTAGTGATTGAAATCATTAACGAGTTCTTTTCTAAAATGCAAAATTTGTAACTGTACCTCCTTGAGGGTAGATGGAATTGTAATGCACCTCTGCCCAAAAACTCAGAAAAATCACTGCAATAAACAAGACATATTAGCCAAGTTCGTTATATCATATGATTCATCGAAACACAAATAGCTTAAACAATTTCTGAAGTCGTATTTCGGATTTACATCACAATAGAAACATATACAAAAGCAATGCAATCGCCAAGTGATATAATAATTTTTCTCTTCATACTCATCACAGAGAAAACAAACCTCCTTTTGGCTTCTCAAAATGAGGAAGTATCTCTATGCAACAGGTGTCTTTGAAAGAAGTCATGACAAATATTCTCACACCATACTGAAAGAAAAACAAAAGAAAAATTCAAAGGTATTATTAGTATAAATAAAAAGGTATTATGTCATTATAGCAACACTTATCAGTAATATCATCAACCGTTGTTTCTCTAGGGGTTATGGCAAAATACTTAGTTTTGTGGCAAATTAAGGAATCATTGAACAAGTGCTACAAAAAAAATTGTGGAAGAGTTGTTAAGTAGTAAAAGTCATACGGAATCTGCAGCAGCTTGGAGAGTGACATGATCGCCCCATTCTCCACTCCTAGTTGAGTTTACAATAAAATTTTATTAGAATAAAAATCAAGAAACATACAAAAAGAAAAAGAGAGACATTTTTACTTTGACATCTTGTCCAAATAGTCACCATATTCCATGGGAACATATCCATCATAAATCTCCGGATTAGATTTTAGCTGATTAAAAATATGATTCAACAATCAGAACAGATGAATAATTTAACAAAAGCAAAGCAGGTATTATAAGCCAGGCAACCGGAAAAAATGATAATCAATTAAACAACAAACCTGGCTGACAACTTGTCTCCTCACAAACTTGTGGTGCTCGGGGGCATGATACAGTTGATCTGACAGTGCACGGAACTGCAAAGAATTGAAAATAAAAGTTATTTCATGAAATTTACTCTATACGTAAATGATAATTGATATTTGATCACATAATGATAATTGATATTTCTCTAAAGGACCTTCTGATTTATATCTAGAAGACCTTCTGATCACATAATGATAATTCATATTTCTCTATCCAGATTCAAAACTTATGAAATCTATTTCGTCCCAGGGATTGTTAAAAATAATGAAAATGAGTGAATGTTAGAAGCAACGAACCTGGCAATTGCCATCACCGTGCACCTTGTTCTCCACAAAGTCATATAATTGCAATCTGGTCATAACAAAATGCACATGATGAAAAATTCTTTCCACCGAGCTAATGTATTTACAAATTGAAAATGGACAAAATAACCCCCAAAAAAAAAACCATTGGTGACAATAGCTCAAGCTTGATATAGTCCAAAAAACAAAATAGGAAAAATATAACAAAAAAAAAGCAAATATTTAGTTACTGGATTACAACGATCCTAGCAGCAATTATACAATTTTCTTAATGAAAGAAAAATGTTAACGACTAATACCTATCCAGAAGCCTTTGATGATCTGATGTAGCTTCATCAATTGAAGGAATTTCTCCATTAATTTTTGGAACATGCTACACAATTAATGGAATGCAAGTTAAGGGCCACAGTCCAATGTATTTATTATTTTAGTGGTCAAAACAAATGGACGAACATGTGAAAGGCTGTAGGTATAACAAAGGAGGATAAATTTCATATGAGTAGGTGCTTGAGAAACCATAGTATATGTAAGAAAACTAAGTCTCGGTATATATTTTGTTATGCTTCCCAAATCAATGATTGCTATGTATCAGTGTAAAGTTGATTCATTCATCACAATTCATGAAAACTAATGAACTGTCTGACAGAATGTTTCGGCAACCACAATTTAAAATTACAAAAAATGATTTACTAGAAATACCAAATACCAATTAATATACATATATTTTTTAATAAGCAAATGTTATATATAAGGAAAAATGAGTGCAAATGGTAGTACAGCCCAATTAGAAAGTGAAATAAGATGACACCAACCAAACCAACCGGTCATACATACCCTACCCCCTATGGAAAGTTATCTCTAGGTTCACAGAAATATAACATGGTGAATTTTTGGACATACCGGAATAGGTATCATTTGGCTCAATCTCTTCCCTACTTCATCATCAAGTGGATAATTGTCGGTTATCTCCAATGAATATTCCTCAGTTTCAGGAGGACTAGAACATGAACTTTCTACGTCGCCAACTCCTTCTTGGGCATAATCATGGCCTGTATGTTTAAAACATTTGATTGAACAAACAAACATATAGTTAAAAGATGAATCCAATATATAATCAAGAAAAAGCTCTGTGCATTAACGATACCTTCTGAACAATAATTAACCATTGAAGAATCATGCCAATCATATGCTGGCTCGGTCTCATTAACCGGATGAAATTGATTTTCATCTGTCTGTAAATACCTTGAAGACTCAGTAATCTCTAGCTGTGAAAACTCTTCTTGAAGAGCACGTGCAATGATCTCATCATTCTCTACATGGTTACATTCATTATCATAATTACTATGGAAGTAGTGTCCATTATAGATGCCGCCGTTATCATGTTGAACTATGTTGTCATAGTAATTCAGATTATAACCCGGGTCACCATCAAGAAGATTAAGACCCCACTGATAAACATCCGAATGCTCGTATAAAACCATATTTAAATGTTAACCTTGACAAGTTATTTGAAACCTTTTGGACAATGCTGAAATGATGCCAAATCAGAAATAATTTACCTGTACAAATAAGCCGTGGATGAAGAGCTTGAAGTATACGATAAAACTAAGTCAACGACAAACAAATAGTCAAGAAGAACAGACAACAGTAAATAAATTATCAGACCAGATACTGTTTTTCAATGTGCATCATTAATATAGACCTAATTTGGAGGTGTTCATTCAAATCAAAGGATGCAAATCCTCAACAATAGAGGAAAAATAACTGTTAAAACTATAACAATTTGGACAAGTAAAATTCATCATATAAACACTCAATACCTAATATATTTAATACATGAGTTATTGACAGTTATACTTTTAACATTTCATGCCTGAAAATTGAAAAATTGAAGAAAAAATGTTCATCCACATTAAATCAGACCAGTTGAAAATCTCGGTTAAGAGTCACAAACACAATCCACATATAACAAAACAACTTCCACATACAAAAGAGCATTGAAGTTTGCAATTAAGCAACAACCAAGAGGATTTAGTTCTATTAGGAATATAAAAAACAGACCGACATCGTGGATTTTGACATTTGCGCGATCATATCGCAACATAATTGAGGCGCGTGCGTCACTACAACCTCGATCGATCGCGATCGCGATCGCAATTTAAAACGTACACTCGTCCAGCCTCCCAACCACCTTCTTTTCCACTTATAAAAACCAAAGTAAAAAGCAAGTATTCTCCACATTCAACTCCATGAATAATATATAATCAAGCTAGGACCCTTTCACAAATACAAATACTAATTTAAATTAACAAAAGCATATCCTAATACCTTTCTAACACATGACAATAACATTATTATATCATCATCAAAGAAAACATCCACTTCACATAAAAACGCACAAACAAATTCTCCATTTCTTGAGATCAAATAACTATTCCCCTCTAGACCTTGAATTGTTCATGAGATTCCAAATTTGAAAAACGCAGAAAATAATTGAATTACATGCAGAAACAAAGCAATGATAAAAGAAAGAGCGAAGAAGTTAATTGATTTTGACCTTGGATTCAGCGGAGAGAAAGGAGAGGAAAGGGTGGGGTTGTTGTGGAGAAATCAGTGTTGTAGCAGAGAAGGTACAATTGCAATAGATGACGAAGATGGATGCATTGAATTGAATTTAATTAATATTTGTGATACCAAGAAATTCAATTTAATTTAATTTAATTTAATTTAATTTGGAAATGAATGTGTTGTATTTGATTGGTTTATCACGCGCTTTATATACGATTCGCCACGGCGTGAAGTGGTTTGTTAGTTTGTTTTATGTGGTGGCGATTGTATTTTAAGCGCACTAAGTCTGCCAATTCTCCAACAAGATGCCTGACATAACTTCATTTTTGTTTTTTTTTTATTATATTCTATTTTTATTTTTATAGTCAATATCTAATCAATTAATTCAATTCGAAGTCAGGTCTAATTTCAAGTGATTTCAATTTTCTTCAAATATCTCTTAAAATTGACGAAAAAAATCTACTTTGACTAAGTTTGAATTCTGGTAATGAAGACAGTAATCTCCATCCCATTTATTTTATTATGTATATTATTATTTAATTTTGTTAATTTAAAATATTAAATATGTGATCAATATTTTGATATTTTAATTTGTATTAATTATTTAAAATATATGAATGAAATTTTTTAAGATTGTTTTATTTTATTATTTGTAATGTAATTTTATTTTGAAAAAAATAAATATTTTTATTTAAAAATATTGATTTTATTAAATAAATGGTGGCGGGACAGGAATATTCAAACCCATTTGAGACGTGTTTGAGTTTTAATTCTCCATCCTCGTTTGGGCTTGGGACAGAGAACGAGGATTGTTTGGGGAATCATGTTTGGTTTTGGGGGAGGCAAAAACCGTTTCCGCCACGCCCCGTTGTCAAGCCTACTCTTTACTAATAATTTGATTGACTCGTGTAAATCGGACTCAACAATTACTCTGTTAGAACTATAAATAAAATATGGTTTTAAATCCATTTGAATAGTCTAAACTTTAAAGTTCTCCAAAAATAATACAATTATCAAAATGAAATTGTTATTCATGTTACAAATAATTTCATCATAGGTTGCACGACCACCATCGTTACTAACTTCATCATCATTATTAATTTTGACTCATACAGCATTAGGAGCCTCATACACACTACAATAAATTCAGAGAGATTCGATATTATTGTGAAACATCCATACTTGAGATTTTAAAACATAGTAATTGTTGGAGCATAAGGTTGAAGATGAAGAAGATGGAAGAGAGAGAAACAAAAAGTTTATAACCAACTTCTAATTGAAAAATGATTACAAAATTCTTGTTATAAACTGAACTAAACTTTTACTTATATACCATCAGAACCTACTAAATGAAATTCAAATTAACTCTAAATGAAACAGAATCTGAATTTGGATTACACTCTAACACCATCCCTTAATCCACATTCAAGTCTAAAATCAACAACATAATTTCATCCCTCAAACGGATAAAATGTCTAGTCTTGATTGGTTTAGTCAACACATCTGCAAGTTGCTTCTAAGTACTACATTGAACAACTTCAAGCACTCTTTTCTGAACCTGATTGCGCAGAAAATGGAATTTTGTGTAAATGTGCTTGCTCTTTCCATGCAGCACTGGATTCTTGGCAAAACTTATGGCTGATTTGTTTTCAATCATCAACTTCACATGCTTCGTCACCTTGATCTTCATATCCTACACTAAGTTTAAAATCCAAACAGCTTGACATGCAGACAAAGCACCTGGAATGTACTCGGATTCACAGGTTAACAATGCAACAAATGGTTGCTTTTTAGAGCACTAAGAAATGGAACCTCCCAGATACTTGAATGAATATTCAGAAGTACTTCTTCTATCAACTCTGTCTCCAAACTAATTAGAGTCTAAATAACATACATCTTTGAATCAGATTTAACACCAGAAGTGGACAAAACTCCATACTTCAGAGTCCCCTTAATATATCTCAGTATCCTGACAGCAGCTTGGTAATGTGATCACTTTAGTTTGTTCATAAACCTACTCACCGTTCTAAATACATACCATATGTGAGGTCTGGTGTTACAGAGACATCTCAATTAGCTCACCAAATATTTAAAATTGTAGCATCTATGTCATCACTCTCAACATCAAAATCCAACATGTAATTTGTTCCAGCATGTGTGATTGCAAGCTTGCAATTTATTAGCTCAAATCACTTCAAAAGTCAAAGTTCATACTTCAGCTGATGCGAAATTATACCCTTATTAGAGTACAAAATCTCCATCCCTAGAAAATATACCATATTTCTTAAATCAATCATCTCAAACTCATGCATCAACACCTTCTTGAACTTGACTATTTCATCTGAACAACTCCCTGTTAGCAATATGTCATCAACATAGAGACACACCAGAATCATATTGCTATCAGATGCATGTTGAACATAAACACCACACTCTATCTCACATTTTTTGAATCCTTGAAGCTTGAAAAATAAATCAATTTTCATATTCCAAGCTCTAAGAGCCTGTTTTAGTCCATACAAGGCTTTATGCAACTTGTACACTATTCGTTCCTGATTCTTTTTCACAAATCTAGGAGGTTGTGACACATAAACTTCTTCTTCTAAAGGACCATTCAGAAATGCAGATTTCACATATAAATGCATCATAGGTCAATTTCTATTAACAGCTATAGCAATCACCAATCTGATTGTTGCATGTCTAGCTACAGGTGTAAACACTTCAAAGTAGTCTAAACTAGATTTCTGTAGAAATCCTCTAGCTACTAACCTTTTGAAATTCTGGCACGCATATACAAATATCGAGACAGATGTCACAACACCAGGATCAATAACAACTTGATCACACAAGTAAAAACTGCAGGGAAATAAATGACAGAAAAATAAAATCAACACCAGAATTGTTAACCCAGTTCAGTGCAACTCACGGGGCTACCAAACCAGAAAGGAAATTCACTATGATAGTACTAGTTCAAAGCCAAACACGTCTGTTTATAACTTCTCTCTTAATCCCTACCTTATGCAACTTCTACTTAGACACCCTCTGGATATGAGATCCCCCTCTCACTTCCTAATCAATCACAATCCCAGTGACAATCAACAATTCCACAAACAATACAAGTATCACAGTTCCAAGACAATACTTGGTTTTGCTTAAAAGCTTCAACCAAGAACAATACACTTTTTCTTAAAAGCTTCATAGTGGACAATGAACTATGAACAATCAGTCAACCTCAATGCATCAGAAGATACATGAGTGAGGTACAATTAACAAACAGAAAACCTTAAAGACCAACAAAAACAACGATTAATCCTTATTACACACAATTCTCACGTTATGCTCTCTTGCTCCAATAGAGGTTTTTCTTCACTTTAAACAGCCTTCAGACCCATTGGACTTAGGCTTTTTGAGGCGCACAAATAGCAACAATCAGTATAAAATGGCTGCAAATCAACCTGCATAATAATAAGAGAAAAATACAAACTTTCCTAAAAAGGCTCAAGGATCCTTTTTTTATGAAAAGTAACAGAATTTGCAATAACAGAAATTTCCATAATATACTCCCATAAAATTCACCCACGTGTGCATTAGAGCACACTAAAAAATCACACTAAAATTACCAAAATATTCATGTCCTAACTATTAGGTATAACATGTCCTGGAACATGTTACAACATCATGCAGAACATGATGTCTGACTGTCATGGCAGAACATCTGGTTCAATATCTTGCTAACAACATGTTGTTTTACCAAGACGCGGCCAATCCAAAAACCACAAGACTTACAATCTCCCCCTTTGACAAATTTTGGCTAAAACAATCTTTGCCCACATCAGAGATACACATAGCGGAAATAAAACAGAAACCCAAGAACCACAATGTTGTCAAACCAATAAAGAAAAACACCTAACAG